TCTTCTTCCGTCAGTGGCATACTCACATCAACAGCAACACCTGGCAGGCGAAATGTTTGCGCCGGCGGATTATCCCTGGGCACATAGCGGTAAAACTCATTGCCATCCTTGTACCATTTGACCGAGTAGAGCGCCTCGCCATCCAAATCGTACAGGCACTCCAGCTGGGCGGTGGCGCCCTTAATCACATAGTTTGGTATGCGCACCTCGACCAGACGCAGTCCGGCCGTAAAATCTGTAAAACAATACAAAAAGAAAAACAACAAATATTTTAGTGTTATTAAATTGCAGCACACACACACACACACACACACATACAAAATAGAACGTATTCATGTGCCCTTTCGGGGCTTTAATTTTTAATGAGAGCGTGCGTTCGTTGCTCATGATTGATTTATGTTTAAACAAATTGCTGTTGTTATTGTAATGTTAATTAATTATAAAAGTTTGTTTGGCTGGCCAGCATAAATGTCAACCCGTTGGCCGCATGAGCGATTGCCCTGGCCCTGGTGGTGGCATGGCCTGGCCGGCAGTCGACGCTTATAATGCCTTGCACAATTTATGTATTTTTAATATAATTTATAATAACATTTTATCACCGAGTCAGGGATATATTTTTGCTTATATATATTTTTATTTTCACAAACAGTAATTTTCTTCTTCTTCCATTTGTTTTCAATTTACAAAAGTGCAGCTGCAAAAACTACTCGCTCATAATACATTTTGATATATTTGATACGTATATAGTATATATATATGCGTCTGATTAATAAGTCACTCCGGTTGGGCTGCAGCAGTTCTCAGCTTGATTGAGTGCCCTGATTTATGCGGGACCCTTTGAGCTGAGCATTTAACTTGCAGTCTAGTGTAGTGTATCTGTGTCACTTGACTGGCCCACTCGAACTGAACTAGACTCGACTCGACTCGACTCGCCTCGACTTCCAGCCAAGCCAAGCCATTCCCGTCCACTCCACTCGGCCCGGTCTCTTGTTACGTTTTATAGCAAACTTGTTTATTGTCAATATTGACAATGCGAGACACAGGCACAGACACACATTTACAGATAAACTGCCACCTACTGCTCTTTGTGCGTGTCTTATATTATTAGAGCCCCCAAGGCACACAGTCACTCGCACACACATCAAGTGACTGCTCACTCTGCTGCTTCTAAGGATGCTTGAAGGACCTTCGACTGCTGCTGCTGCTGCTGCTGCTGCTGCTGCTGCTGCTGCTCCAATCGTTGTACATTACAAGTGTAATAAAATGTGAAAGGATATTATTGTACATACATCGCCAAGCTGGCAGACAGAAGACTCTTCACACAGAGCAATGGAGCACTGCCAGCAAGAGTCGAGCAAAAATGCATTGCATTTATACAACACGATGTACGACAAAAGCTTAAGAGTCGAGCTACGAATTTCTAGAAATTCAGGCAACAACCCAAAGCAAAAAGTAATTACAACAATTTAAGCATTCCATAAATGTTATCTAGGAAAACAAAGAGCGAATAATAGGAATACGTGTGTAAGACTCTTGCAAAGACTTAAGCTGACATTTCAAAAACTTTTTAAGCACCAAACTCAAAGAAGCAGCCGTTGGCTTGGTGACGTCTCATTGATTGCCCATATATCACCAAGTGACTGCAGTTGACGTTTGTTTTATTTTATTTATTTTTATTTTTTTAATGTTAGCTTTGTTAAATTAAAGCTTGTCTTCGAGTTCAAATTAAAGGAAAATATAACAGAAAAATCAATAACTATATCAACTGATAGACACAATTTTTTTACATTTTTTATATACATATATATTTTTTTATATATTATTACATATTTTTTTATTTATTTTTTTCTATTTTTTCTATGATTTTATTTACCTTTTTTTTTCTTTACTAATTTAATTTAATTTTTGGATTTTTTAATTTATTATTTTTATTATTAATTTATAATTTTTTAGTTATTATTTTTTTTTTCCTTTTTTTTGTATTTTTTTAATATTTTAAATATGTTTTATTTTTTATTTAAATTTCATCAAATTTGTGGGTTTTACTTAACTAATCATTTCTTATCGACATCTATATCTGCTTACTATATCTATTTTATATTTGTATTTAATTAAACGCTGAAATACATATTCACAATTATTATAAAAAATACTCTAATATTAAATC